GATCAATTTAATTTAATTTAATTATAGTAAGAAGGCCTTGTAACCCAATGATTCAACCACAAGCCTTAAATGCTTGGGTGAGATGGTCGAAGCTTCGAGTTCCACCACCGTCGTGAACTCCCCCAAAAAGCAGCCTAATGACAGCACACCTCATTTGAGGGGGTGGAATGTTCATCCGGTCTAAGAATTTTCACCCGGTCTAAGAATTTTCACCCGATCTAAGAATTAGTTACTAATAATTAACTCACTAACTTCTTAATTATTACCCTTGTCAAAAAAAAAAAATTATAATAAGAAAAAGTGCTGTGGAAAGCAACCCAAACGCTACCGCGCTTAATCTTTTGAGTACCCTTTATGATTACATCTAATAATTTTTCTTGAGTGTTATAATACATAGATCTTTCATTAATTTAAAATATTTACTTTGAACATGTCGAAATTATTACTTTATGATTTAATGATGATAAATATCTGTTTCCGTTCACTTTTATTGTGCATATTCACATATAAATATTGTGAAATGATTGTTACACCTAATATTTTAATACTTGATTCAACACATTTTGGTTTAGTCATTAAAAATATAATCTAAATACAGTCAATTCAGTCAATTTATGTATCTTATGTGCATAATTGTATCATTATACTTATCTGTTTTTAATTTCAAACTAAAAAATAGTTATTTTTTAATGATTAAACCAGAAGATGTTGAATCGAGTGTTGAAATATTGGGTGTAACAATCACTGTCCATAAATATTTCAATAATGACTAAATGGTGCCTCCATTTTGCATAATGTTCCAGGTTAACGGGTTTAAAGTTATACTTTGTAAGAAATGGAGCAAGAATACCCATAAAGAGAGAATATTTATATTTCTATTCTGCTTTGTGAGGTAATATTACTAACAACAAATCTTAATAATTGTGTTACCAATCTATATAAAACATTAATTAAATAGGAATTTGTTCTACTAAGTGGTAGTTTAGTTGGAAAGAAGATTTACTATTTACTTTGTTGACCTAGGTTTTATTCATTGGGAGACTAAAAGTAAGGTAATTCACTACGAATTCCTTAATCTTAATGTGTGGATGACTTCTTTAAAAAAAAATTAATCTTGAGGTATGTAAAAAATAGTCACAAATGCTCTAGCTAACTTAAGGGAAAAAAAAAAAGTAGCATAGGTTTTTGTTATTTGGTATGCACCAACGATAATATTACCAACAACAAAAGGTTTAGAGGATACATTAAAGATATACTTAATTTGAGAAAAATGAAAAGGAGTGGAAACAATTCCTTTATCTTGTTACAATAAAAATGGAGAGAAGGGGTGAGGAAAAGCCTCTCTTATATTATATTTTTTTTTCTTTCAATTCTATTATTGATTTTAACTTAACCAAATTAATGAGGAAGGGGAGGGAAGGGGAGAAATATAGAAAAATATTGTTATGTCCTTCTATTATTCTAAAATTAAACATACTCTAACTATGATGCAAGGGTAGAGAACTCAAATTTAAGTATGAAAAATTGATTAGCATCTTTCAAATAATTATGATATAATCATATGAATAATCACTATCAACATACTTAAAAGAAAAAAAAAAAACCACAAACATATACAAGGCTTATATAAATTATAAGTTACTAGTTATATTTTATAATTCAATGGTTGAAATAATAGTATTAAAGTATTAAATATGGCATCATCATCTCAACCGTTAGAAATCAGTTGGAAGTAGAATCAACGATGAAATTTATTGTAAGACTTAAAATATTTGTAAGTGGATACCAGCACATCCTTAAAACAAGGCAAACCAAAGGTGAGGACATAAACTTTCACCATATTCAAATCGAGGATATAAATTTTAATTATTTTGAATTAAACACTCATCTTTACATTAGTGGAAAATAGGTACATGATCTTTGCATTGTTAGAAATAAGGATAAATTGGAGAGAAAATTTTGCTTTTTAGTTATCTAGGACTGTCTATGAAATTATCTCATTATGAATCAATGATGTCGTGATTCAGTATTCATAAAACATTTAGTCCATATTTTGAACTCCTTTTTGTGTGGTCTCAAGATGATTTTTTCATTCCATAACAAATATTTTAAAGTTTAACTAAGCAAATCTCAGAAAAAAAAAAAAAAAAGGTGTTAATATACTTAATGTAAGAGGTAATTATATTTAAATGCAATTAATTAAATTTTCTATTTGATTATTTGAAATATGAGATCAAAGAGAGTAGGTAGAGGCAAATACACACATGAAAGGAATATATGACCTCTGCAAATTCCACAAAGAAATTTGGAGCTGTTACCTTCTCTACTTCTTACTCTCCTTCCAATTTAAGAAGGATAACACTTGTATTATCTCGGCTTTCCTAGGGCTAAAGCAAGCCTTGTGAGTATAGAATACTTGCAAAAGCACTTTTGGGAAGAACATATTCTCCATTTTATCTAGACCACCCCCTACCATGACATTAGAGAATATTAATAACTGGACTTCCGTTCCTAAAACAAAGCCAAAGAAATGTCAGACATGACATGGAGAAGCCTTCATGAAATGGAGGAAAACGTTCTTAACGGAAGGCCATTTGGAGCATCTTTGCACTTACAATGCTTGCTCTAGAATTGGAATTCCAGGACAATATGAGTGTCCTCATCGTTGATTTAAAGGGGAAGGAGAAGAGAAGTAACTGAATAAGTAGTTAGGTCTTCTCGGGGACGCTTGGGAAGACCAAATTAAGGGGAAGGTACATGTAAAAGTTTACTTCTATTATGGGTTAATGAAATTGCTAACACAACCTAAGATAAAACTGCAATCTCTTAAATTTAATTATATTTGTCAGCGGTGAATTATAAATAAAGAAAAGGTGTTCTGCACGTCATTGTCTTATATTATTTTAAAAAATACTTGTCTACAAATTTATTTTTTAATTAAAATTTTCTAAAATCAAAATTAGATTAAAAATTTTATGCATATAAATCATACATATTGATTTTTAAAATAATTTAATAAGCTTTATTATTTCATTGGTTATATAAGATTTAATATCATTAAATATATATTAATAAATAAATTTTTTTATTAAAAAATTATAAATATTAAATTAATATGAAAATTTACATGTATAATTTATATAAACAAAACTTTTAATCTAATAATTGAATTTTAAACATGTATTCCAAAAAAAATTTTAAAAAATGACTTACTTTACTCTAATTCCTTGTAATAAATAGAAATTAAATATGAAAAACTTCTTCCACATAAATTTATGTCACATGAACAATCACACAAACATAATTTCAGAATCATGAATCTAGATTTCATATGCTTTTGGAAGTGATTTATAATGCTTCCTAGGCTATGCATTCTTATTTTCCTA